AGGACCTGAAGCACTTGCTGCAGAAGGTCAAAAGACTGCAGCCTTTAATAAGGATTGAAGCTCAACATCAAAGAAACAAAGATTCTCACCACTGGGCCAATTAATTGGTAGCATCATGATAGCTGATGAAGAGATTGAGACTGTTAACAGCTTTAGTTTGTGTGGGTCCACAGTCAACACTATTTGATACCAACTCACAGAAAATCAAAAGATGAATTGCATTGGGAAAGACTGTTGTCAGGAACTTCTCCAGAGTACTGAAGAGCAACAATATCAGTCTGGAGACTAAGGTGTACCTGATCCAGGCCATGTTGTTGTTGTTGTTATGTGCCGTCGAGTCATTTCCGACTCATAGCGACCCTATGCACAAAAGCCCTAAACCCTGCTCTATCCTGCGCCAACCGCACCAGGCCATAGTCTTTGCAATTTCTTGCTGTCAGAAAGCTGGACAATGACTAGGAATGATAGAAGCTGAATTAATACCTTTGAGCTGTGGTGCTGGAGAAGAGTATGACTGCTAGGAAAACAAACTGGTATGTCCTAGACAGGGAGAAACCAGGCTACTCCTTGGAGGCAAAGATTCTAAGGCTTCGTCTGACCTTCTTTGGGCATGTTGCAAGGAGTGGGAAGTCCTTGGAGAGGGACATGCTTGGGAGAGCAGAGGAAGAGAGGAAGACCCTCAATGAGATGGACTGATTCAGCAACTGGGGTAATAGGAATAGGTGTGTCAGAGAAAAAAAAAGCTTGGCTCAGGATTGAGCAGGGTTCAGAGCCATTATACAGTCGCTATGAGCCACAAACAACTCGTTAGCACATAACAACAACACAACAGCATGAGTAGTTGAGGTACATAGTTGTTCACTGTTCAAATCCACCAGCTGCTCCACAGGAGAAAAATTAGTAGTGTCCTCCTGTGTGATTTTCTGCCTTGGAAAATGCACTGGAGGTTCAGCTATGAGTTGATTCCAACTTCACGGTACTCAACCAAAATATGAGTAGTTGATGGTGTGTTCCACACTCAGCCCTTGGCCTGATTTTTACTGATGATGCTGTTTTTCTCCAAAGTCTCTTCCCAATGAAGTAGTCAATCTGATTCCTGTGGAGTCCATCAGGTTTAGTCCGTGTATATAGTCAATATTTATGTTTTTTGAAAAAATAGTTGCAATGAATCCTAGCAAATTCTCTCTGGAAAAGGTTGCCACAAACACGCACAAAAGCAAATAGGATAAGGTATAATAGTGAGCGAAGGTAGAAATAAAAACAGCCAAATACACTGTCTAGGAGTTACACTGCAAGTCCCTTTCTACGAGTGAGAAGGAACACCTCTCTAGGGACAGAGTTCCAGAATTTATGGAGTCGTCTTCCTAAGCTTAGCTTCTTTGCTTTCCCAATTAGTGGCTTTTTCTGACTGATTGTGAGAAGCAACTCTTTCTTTTATGTTGGTTACAGACGTTTTTAAGTTTGTGGTGGTTACTGTGCTTCCTCAAGGTTGTGGTGCCCCTAGTTCCAACTGCAGAACTACAGAGTAGGGAGGGGACACACACCCAAAGCTGTGGCCCTTGTTGCCAGTCCTAGTTGTTTTCCTGCATCTTCCTTAGACCCTTGTCTCCATGCTCACTTTGTTCCATCTGACACTAACAATTTGATCCAATCTTTCATCTTTGTTTTCAATTTATGTATTCCAATCACCAATTATTAATACATCTCAATTGCATGTTCCATCAATTTCATACTGCAAAATTGGTAGAGATAGTAAATTTTGTCATCTTTGGTTTTCCTTGTTGTTGCATATATTTGAATGTTGTTGTTGTTATGGGCCGTCGAGTCGCTTGCAACTCATAGCGACCCTATGTACAACAGCCCTAAACTCTGTTCTGTCCTGTGCCAATCGCACTGTCTTCGATTACCCCAATTACCCTAGTCAGTGAATCAATCCACCTCATAGAGGGCCTTTCCCCTCCTGCGCTGTCCCTCCACCCTACCAAGCATGATGTCCCTCTCCAAGGACCAGTCCCTCCTTACAACATGTACAAAGTATTTTAGGTGGAGCCTCAGATTCCTTGCCTCCAAGGAGCCGCCGGGTTTGACCCTTTCCAGGATGAATCTGTTTGTTTTCCTAGCAGTCCATGGTACCCTCAATACTCTTCTCCAGCACCACAGCTCAAAGGCATCAATTCTCCTTCTATCCTCCTTAGTCATTGTCTAACTCTCTGATGCATAACAGTGATTGCAAAGACCATGGCCTTATCAGACTGACCTTAGTCTCCAGTGAGACACCATTGCTCTTTAGTACTTTGGAGAGGTCCCTAACAGCAGACTTTCCCATCGCAATACATCTTTTAATTTCTTTCCTGGCTACTGGTGCCAAGAGTGTTGACTGTGGAGCCAAGCAAACTAAAGCTATAAACAATCTTAATCTCTTCACCATCCATCCTGATGCTGCCAGTTGGCCCAGTGGTAAGAATCTTTGTCTTCTTGACATTGAGCCTCAATCCATATTGGAGGCTGCAGTCCTTGACCCTCAACATCAAGTGCTTCAGGTCCTCCTCACTTTCAGCAAGCAGGGTTGTGTCATCTGCATATGGCAGATTGTTGATAGATCTTCCACCAATCTTGACCCCACATTCCTCCTCATAGAGCCCAGCCTCCCGGATAATCTGTTCTGCATATAGGTTGAAAAGGTATGGAGACAGGACACATCCCCTGGCATGCACCCCTTCCCAATTTTGAACCATGCAGTATTTCCTTGCTCTGTTCTGATGACTGCCTCTTGGTCCAAGTATAGGTTTCTCATTAGCATGATCAAGTGTTCTGGTATTCCCATTCTTCTCAGAGTCAGCCACAGTTTGTTATGATCCACACAGTCAAACGCCTTTGCATAGTCAATGAAACACAGCTACAGTATCCCTAGTACCAGGACCCCTTCTAAACCCAGCCTGGACTTCTGGCAGTTCTGTGCTGATGTGTCATTTCAGTCGTTTTTGCATAATCTTCAGTAGAATCTTGCTTGGATGTGAAATCAGTGAGATTGTTCTATAGTTTCCACACTCTGTTGGGTCACCTTTCTTTGGGATAGGAACAAATATAGACCTCTTCCAGTCAGTTGGCCAAGTGGTTGTTCTCCAGATTTCTTGGCACAACTTGGTAAGCACATCCAGGGCAGCATCTCTTAGCTGAAATATATCAATTGATATACCATCTAATTCTGGTGCCTTATTTTTTGCTATTTCCTTCAAAGCAACTTGAACTTCTCCCTTCATCACCATAGGCTCTTGATCATATGTTTTGTCATGAATTCTCCTGTGTCTGCCAATTCCTTTCGATACAGTGACTCAGTATATTTGAAAAATGTTGTATTAACAGGCCTTCCTTGTATGTGTAGGGATAGTATCCTGTCGTTCATTATACTTCAGGAGAGATCTTGAAATGCTCTTTTTGAGGATGAATGCCACACCATTCCTACTCAACTTGTCATTCAAATTGTGTTTCATACAATCATTCTCATACCTTATAATTGATAAAATCAATCGCCATTGGATGTTGCCCCATCATTACCCTGTCTTTTTGCCCAGATCCTTCCCATTTGCTTCCCTACCTCCCTCCACCCACCAAACTGTGCAGCCCTGCAGTTTCACCCCTACCTACTGTCACCCCTTTGCTTTCCCCTCCCCTCCTTGAGTTACGATATAGGTTTTACTAATTGTCCTATTTTTTTCAATAATGGTCTTATGCAATATTTGTCCTTATGAGACTGCATCAGTTCACTCAGCATAATTCTCTCCAACCTCTCTCAAGTTACGTAGTATTTTTTAAAATTGTTGCTCCTGAGTGCTGCATAGTATTCCACTGGTGAAAGTACCACAATTTTTCAATCCATTCAGTTGTGGTTGGACATTTGGGCTGTTTCCATTAAACAGTTCTTTTTATTCCAGTTGTTTCTGTTATGATGTCACTAATTTTATTTCTTACTTATGTCTTCACAATGCATTTAAGACCCAGCCCCAACTTTATATGTAATAATTCATTGGAATGACTCATAGATCACTAGAAATACCATTCCTACAGTTACAGTTTTAATTTAACAGGAAAAGATCTGGCTGAGTGGTCCTAGCTTAGAGCCTCGACATCTCAAGGGAGATGTCCTGAGCACAGATAGTTTCTTTCACCAAGAAGAAAACCCTTTAGCCAAGAAGTGCTCTGCAACAGCTCCTTTTCAGTGGGAACAAGAATGCCTCTTACCTGGGCAGCTCTTACAGTTTTCTTTTAGCCAGGATGGCTTTGTTAAGTCTGTTAAGCTCCTCCCTAGTGCAGCTCTCAGTTCTGCTCCTTTCTTCCCTGCACAGCTCTGAGCCAGGGACTAGGAGTTTCCAGCGCATGGCTTCTGTATCCAAAGGCAGTGGCATCACTCAGCTCATCCACTCGGAAGCCTTATGTAAGCCTCCGAGTTGCATTACCATGGACTCTGTTAACCTAGCCCACCCTGCAAAATTAACAGACTCTCAGAGACAGCCAACAACTTGCGAAACCTCCAAAGGTCATTTTCTGAAACCTTGGGGGAAAAGACCACACAAAAGTGTTTATAGCACCATAGGCTTGAAAGAACTGAAAAGGAAAGCTACGTAGGGGAGTGGGAGCTACATAGCCATGCCACATACCTGTGTTTACAAATAAATGTTTACAAATCTTATTTTAGACATGAATATATCCACTAAAACACAAACTGTAGTGGCAACAATTCTGCATACTTGAACGTTGGGAGTTCCCTGGGTTTTACTATACCCATATGTGTCCTGGGACATATTCCTGTTGCTTTTCTGTGTACTGGAAGCTGTTTGCATATGACACATTAATATACATTTAACCCCACATATAGGCTGCTGGTCCCTACTTCCACTCCTTCCTCCTGGCTTGCAGCTTGTTTTCATAGGAAGGTGTATAGATATCTGTGATGACTGGACAAGGTTGCTTGCCTCCCTTTTTCTCCCTCCTTTATTCTCCAGGCATTTGAAGGAGATCTCAGAGCTGCAGACTCAGCAGAAGCAGGAGATTGAGGCCCTGTACCACCGCCTGGGCAAGCCACTGCCCCCTAATGTGGGCTTCTTCCACACGGCACCTCCTACTGGCCGCCGGAGGAAAGCCAGCAAGAGCAAGCTGAAGGCAGGGAAGCTGCTCAACCCCCTGGTACAACAGCTCAAGGTCGTGGCATCCAGCACAGGTCGGCAGGAGCTCCTGGCTGGTCTCAGGGCAGGGCTGGATGGGAATGTGGGGTGAAGGATCCCAGTAAGCCTGGGAAGTTACGCTCAATGACATTGTGATATCTTCTAGACTCTAAATCCCCTTCATTTGGAGTTAAGAAAGAACATTGCTAGGCAGAGCATTCCTGGACCTCACATCATCTTGTAGAAAGGACAGATGCAAGGGCTTTTCAGAGGTGGGCTCCTACCCTCTGGGAGTATTTACAGGCCACTGGGCTGCAGTCTAATCTCAGACAGGTTCCTTCAGAGCTGAGAGGTGGTCTTAAGTGGCCCCTGCTGTGCACTGAGGGGTGCTGTGGAGGAGGGCCTGTTCCTAATCATCTACACTGGCTTTGACTGTGGGCAGTAAAGACAGGTGGGAGGAGGAGTGATGACATCCTGTGAGTAAGTCTACTGGCCTGGCCTCCAAGCTGCAAGAGCCCAGCCCCTTCATTTCAGGTCCCTTGCAAGCTTTCCTGTGGCTGCTTCTGCTCAACTGGCACAGCTCCAGAACTCCGGGCTGAAGCTTGAGTCCAGAACCAAAGTTCCTGAGCAATGCTGTTGTGTGTAGAGTGTTCCTCTTGGTGTTCCTGACCTGTGGGCCGCATTCATGAGAGGACACGAGTGATGAAACCTCAGTGCCAGTTCTAAAGCTAACAGAGGTGGTGTAAAAGGAGGCACTGTCTAAACCCAGTATTTGTATCTAGGTGTACATTACAGCAATTCACAGATTAAGAATCTCTGGCTTCACCTTTGTGACTCATGCAGTCTGTGATCACTAATCTTCCCAACATTCCAATATAGAAGAGATGACTGTGTGCCCATTGCATGCAGGTGACTCAGAAACTCACCAACAAGAGAATTTCTCCAAAGCCATTGAGCAAACAGCAGGAAGACACAGATGAGCACCATGCTGGTGTCCTGCCAGTGGCTCTCCATTGTGCCTGTCACCCTCTCTCCTCACCCAGGTCACTTGTCAGACTACAGCAGAGGCCTTCCTGCTAAGGACCCTGTCCAAGGGGGAGCAGGGCCTGCTGCAGAAAGCCCAGCGACACCCCCGGCTCCAGACCCGTGTGGCAAGGCCGTTCACACCCAGCAGCCCTGCTCCGTGAGAGCTTCCCTGTCTTCCGACATCTGCTCCAGCTTAGCCACTGATGGAGGCGGAGCGCATGGCCCAGGTGATTCCCAGCTTTCCACTCTCCAGCATGGGCTAGCCCAGGGCTTCATTGGTGTCCCCAGGAGCACGCCAGTGTAGAGGATAAAGCTGCAGCAAGGCTGTTGTGTGGCCACTTTAAAAATAGCAGTCTTAATAAAAAAAAATATAGCAGTCTTTGGATCTAAAGCATAGAATTGCCCAATCATCACCCAGTCTTACTGCAAGTGGCTCCCAGGGAGATCACTCTTGGCTGACACGACCTAGTGATGCAACCAGGACCCCGAGGTGTAGCCGAATGTCCAGGAGAGGAGTCAGCTAGGGGAGTCAGGCAGGACACCTCTGTCCATTTTGCCACAAAGGGTCCCAGCCAGCACGGTGTTAAACACCTAGGCCTTCCACTCAGGAAGGTGGCTAGAAGGTGGGCTAGGCTCTTGGACAAGAGATTGACCTTGAAGTGAAAACACTCTCTTTTCAGCGCTGCCATGGATGGTAGCAGCTGCTTGATAAAGTGCTCACCCACTCTCTTTACTGTTCTATCAAAAGAAACCTTGGTGATTCTGATGAAAGTGCCACCCCTCCCCCTCACCTCTGGGAGCTTGCTTTTCTTCTGCTCCTGCTGCCTCCTTTCCATTATGTGGTCAGTGGCTTTGATCCTCTGGGCTGGGCTAGAAGCAGCCATGGATGTTAAGTAACAAAGCTGATGTGACTGGTGGTATAGTAGGACATAGAGTCACAGTGACTTTTACTTGATAAGTGTCTTTTTGTTTTCTTCCTTTTATATTCATTTGCAGGCTGGACGGTTTCCCACCAAACGTCTGAGAGAGTGGCCTATAAATCTAGTAGCAAACCTCGTGCCCGATTCCTCAGTGGACCTGTGTCTTTGTCCATCTGTCTGTATTTGTTCTTTTGTATTTTATCACCTCCTATCCCTTGGTTTCTCCCCTTTTTCTATCTTCATTGGTACCTTTGATGCATTTGGCAGGTGCCTCCCCTTACTCAACCCCTCACATTGATCTCATCCATCACTATCAAGTGGCACAGCCCCAAGCCTCTTCCTTTGGATGATGGCATCCTTTCTGTCCTCAGAAGGCTTGTGCGCATGCTTCTGCTCATGCCTGGGCACCAAAGCATGTGCAGCCTTTTGGCTGGGGCACCCCATCTCTCAGACAAACCAAGGTCTTCTGTATTCTGTCACTCATTAATTTGATTTTTATTTTTTGTGTTGGACGTAGTTTTTTCTGTTGCAATTGTGGCCAAATATACATGTCCGCTGTCCCCAGTTCCAGCGACAACAAAAAGACAACCCCAACCATCTCTAGACGCATGGTGTTTTTCACACATGTTTGGACTATGAAGACATGCATGTAGCAAGCCGATACAATTCTAGAAGGTCACTGGAGGGTATAACTTCCGTACCAGGGCTGTATTACAACAACCTACAGTACTGTGTCTTCTATTGCCCCACTCCCTGCATGTGGAAATGCTGAGAGGATGGTGCTCCAGCTAGGACACCCCACATCAGCTGTCCCTTTGTAGGACATCTAACCACTACCCATCCTCTCAGTGACTGTCTGTTTTTTCTGCCTCTAACAGTTGTGATTGACAACCTAGATCCACGCTCTTCTCCAGAAGCGTGCCACCCCTTCACCTCCATGTCTTCTAGCTGGAGCACTTCACTCGGTCTATTTTCCTGTGACCTCATGTGACCTTAGAGACGAAGTCAATTAAGCAGTTCCTCAAAAGTCTTCTGAACCCAATACCCATCTTCTTCAGATACTTTGGAGCATCCCAGTTATTCTATTTTTAACAGTAGTCCCTATGTGGGACTATTCCTAACTGTGGTGTTGATTTTTTTTAACCCTCAGAGCAATTGTCAAATGACTCCAAAGTTGAGCTTTTTAACAATTGGGTGGACATGCTGGTTTGGGGCGCATGGCTTTTTGCTGTACAATAAAGGTACATTGTCCTTGTGGGACCCAGAGGCCATGTCCACAGCAGACACCATGAGTTAAATGTGCATTCACATCTACCTGGCCACCTCATCTGAGTCCACATGGCTCATCATCCTCCAGGCTGGACAGATCAAAGGCACAAGGGCCACTTAGAAATGCTTTAGAAAGCACTAACACTTCCATGTTGACTTCTTATCCAACGTACTGGGTGCCCCATGTGAGCAGCTTTTGATTGTGTCTTAGCAAAGTTGTGGGAAGGGATAGAGAGTCCTTGAGTGCAGTGTTCTTGGAAGCCCTTTGCATCACAGCCTTGGCTCAGCACCCAATACTTGTGTTCCACTCCAGTGGCTGAATACCACTCTTGTTGGCCTGGCTGTTAGGCCTCCCACGCTCCAGGGCTTTTTCTTTTTCAGTAGTAGCTGGAATTTGGGCTGTCCTTCTGCTGAGTGCCTCCTTGGCCTCCATGAAAACAGGAAAGATGGTCCCTTTCCCAGGAATATTTGGGAAAAGTGCCCACAGGGAAAACATGATGCTGCTGATCTTGTCACTCACCACTTTTCCATTCACACTGTTTTAAAGATTTTTTTTTTCATTGTTTACTAGTCACTACCATTCTAAGATTTAAAAATAATAAAATAATGAGACATTCATAATCATTCCCTCACTGCTGTCTGTGAACAGGAAGAAAGGAAGGGGAAGGCAGGGTATGGTCCGGGACAAGGCTGCTGACCCTGGAGGCTCCTCGAGTACCAGGCAGCCTTTAGACCTTGCTTAGTGATCTGAAGGAGCTTTGGTGGCATAGTGCATAGGGAGTTGCACTGCTGGTGTAAAGACCTCTCTGACAGTTCAAATCCACCTCCTGCTCCAAGACAAAAAGACAGTCAGTCTCCTCCTGTGTGATTTTTAGCCTTGGAAACCAGAAGAAGGGTCAGTTTGAATTGGTTCCAAGTTGACAGCTGTGAGTTTAAACAGAGTGATCCGATGTAGATCTCATGGTGCTGCTGCTGGCTTCCATATCTTAGCCTTTTAGGGGCACATCCTTGCTGAGGTCTTATTCTCTGGCAGATGGTGTTCCTTCACTGGGTACCTTTTATGTACTGCCTTGTAGACTCAAGCACTGGGATTTGGTCCATAGGCCAGAAGCCCTTTTTTACAGTGCTGTGTCTCTGGCATGCCACAGCTCCCTGCCCTCTACACTGTGAGAGTTAAAGGCTTCATGGAGCCACTTTTTGCTGCTCTGGCACTGACCAAGGATGGGACTTCAAAAGAAGGGAGATAGTGACTTGCCTCAGGTCTTCACATCTGTGAGAATAATGAGCACCTATATTAAAACTCTGGAGCCCTCAGTTTCAGGGAAGTTCGTTTAACAGCCAGGGTGATATGGCAGAGGGCCTCAGGGTTGAATTAAATTGAAAAAAGCAAGAGGAAGAGGGCATTCAAGATAGGGCAGAAAGAGTAAAGACTTGGCATTGTAGGAAGGACCACGTTATTCCAAGGCTTTGTCCACAAGTCAGAGAAGCTGACAAAGTGCACTTGGCAGATCTAGAACAACTCCATAACATTTTCTGTTAACTGTCCTATTGTGTGGCACCCCCGCTTTCTGAAAAAGAAAAGACACTGTGAAACAAAATTCTCAATCCAAAGTAGGAAAAACTCATGGCTTCAGGAAACACAGAGATGAAATCACTTGGACAGAAGGTTAAGGCTGGATCAGAGGAGGCTAGGACTGGCAGGTGCCTTTGGGGTGGAGGCCTCAGGAGCTGAGCCAGGCCCTCATCAAGAGATGAGGAGAGCTGTTTCTTCTGTCCAGATGGGCCTACAGGGTAGTTAGAAGATAGTGAGAAAGCTTGCAAGTAGCAAACAAGAAAGGCAGGACAAGTCAGGAAGATGCAGCCTTCAGCCAGCCACCACAGCCATGTAGCCGCTCCTTTATGACCTCAGTCTTGTGTTGCTTGGGCCTTATGATGATGACTCCTGAACAAGACCACTCCATGGTGGTTAGAGGAGACGGGGGCAATTCAGGCCCACCGTGTCCTGAAGATATGAGGTACAGGAGTGAATCCTGAATTGTTTATGTCAGTCAGATCAGCAGCTTTGGTCGGACTTTTTTGGTTCTCCCTTATTGTATCTCCCATTTAACGAGAGCTGATGTCTCTCCAGCCCTTGACTGTATATAGAAAACATTTAATATCATTTTATATCATATGTCTATTAGCAGCATTCATAGATGCTGCTTATCTGTCATTGCTGGAGCTTTGTATGTGGCTAAGATATTGAATAGGCTTCTGCAGAGATTTCAGACTAGGAAGAAAAGCCTGATTGTGTGCTTCTGAGAACCAATCAGTGAAAGCTCTGTGAATCTTAGCAGCTGAGGCTACACGTGATCATGGAGATTGTGTGAGACTGGGTAGAACTGTTTTTTCTGTTGTACATGGAGTTGCTATGAATTGGGACCTGGCTGGATACACATGGCAGCTCCAGAGGATTCTTATGTTCTGGGACCTCCTTCCTATACCCTTCTGCTTCCCTCCTGTGCTTGATTCCTGCTCTGAGCAGTATCAGTCTGCTCAGGAATGGTCTCTCTGTGAAGACTAGAGAGCATATCAGTGAGGGGCCTCTAAATTCTTTCCTAGACCTTTGTACAAAGGCCTCCTGGGCCAAGAAGGATGAATGGGGAACTAGCTTACAAGTGCACAACCTTCCATGTCTCTCACACCTCAACTTACAGCCCTGGTGCACGTGGGCATGACCTTCAATGTGTGGGGCCTCTGTGAGAAAATCGATTTCCCAGAGCCATGTGGTAACTGGGCCTGGGGCTGACAAACTTCCCCAAATCCTGCCCAAGATTGGTGATCCTTCCCCAAATTCTACTAAATAAAGGCACATAATAGGCCTTTGGTACTGTACCAGAAATCAACATTCATTCACTAACCTACCCAGTTCAAAGATAGAGCCATTGGAGTTGACCCTTCATTGTGGAGATAGAGGAGGAAAGCACAAGTTCTTTGAGTTAGACAGTAGCCTTAAGAGTGAGCTGGGACTGAGGTTTCTCAAGATGCTGTTCCCTTGCTGTTCCACAGTCTAAACTTCATCTACATCCTAACATTGGTGTTGAAAGCAAGCATGATCACTTGCTCACAAACTGCCCCACTTTCTAATCTGCCTGGGTCAGATGTACCCTATTTGGAGAACTCTTGTTTGCTGAATCTTCTGTACTCCCAGCCAGGGTTAGGCCTGGTGTTCAGGCAAAGATAGGGCAGAGCTAGCTACCAGCACCAAGAAGAACCTTCTGTTGAATGGCCTCACTCTGAAGGGCTGAGTGGAGGGCCGAGTGGAGCAGGGACCCACCTCACAATTGCATGTACTGAGATTTAAATGGCCTGTGGTTTTCCTTTGGGGCCAACAGCCAGAAGCAGGACCTCTTTGAGCATACTTGTTGAATAGGTCTTCTCCTGACATCCACTGGACAAGACATAGACTTAGACTTCTTGGCCCAGGAGTGGTACTGACTGCAATCTCTGATATGAGCTAACCTTTCTCCAAGGAGCTGGACATGATTGCCTCTCCCACCCCAGTGCCTGAGCCATTGTGGGGAGCATGAACTGAGATTCTTTTGGGTCATGAAACATCTCCACTCAGGGCATCAGTATACCCTACAAGAAGTTTCTGTATTTTCCAATGGAAACTTAAGTGGCTACTGTATTGGTGGAAATGATTATGTTTCATAATTATTGGCTCATTTTCCCCCCTTTTTTACTTTCTGCCTAGTGGACTATGGCATCATTTTGTAGGAGCCTATAGGGTGTTTATACTGGTGGGAAGGAGGCATATCTCAGGTGAGATTTCCAGCCAGAGCTCTTCCTAGTGGGAGATATCCATGGCAGAGCCCTGACATATGGTTCCTGGCTCTAAACTCAGCATGAAAATGCCTCCCAGTTTATGTGTATAAAGCTGTTGGGGTCATTTTGGCCTGTGCCACTGATCATCCTGTGCACAGGGAAGGGCACTCCCACCTCTGTCAGCTCTGTGGCCTGTTGAGCCCCTTGATCTGCTCAGCTTTGCCCATGGGCCAGGGTATCCAGTGGTGGTTCTGGTAGAAGCTGGCCCATAATGGAGACTGGATGCTGGATGCCAGGCTGCTTCAGCCAGTGCAGTGAGATTTCTTCAGAGCTGTCTGTTCTTGACCATACCAGCTAGAAAAAACAGCACCGCAGAAAGTCCAGCGGATGTGGGTATTCAGCCTGGGCCTCAGCATGCCCAGGCCAGTAGATGTTCCGTTTCAGCCTGTAAGATGCAAGCCACAGCTGCCCATCCACACTGCACTCAGGCCCAGAGCGTACCTGTCATTCCTAGTAGGGTCTTCTATTATATGGACTTGCACAGGCTGGGGATCTACCTCCTCTTGCTATCACTGGCATGTCTGGTAGCTCCTGCCTGGTCCTGTACTTCCCTGGTCTATGGGATTCCTCATTTCTCCCCAAATAAGTCTCAGAATAAAAAGGATAGTCTTCTCAGTCTGAAGGAATGTGGGTAGGTAGGCATTCAGAACATGGGGTCCTAGTCTACTGAGTATGGGATGAGATGCACATTTACAGTGTGAGCTCTGTCTTTGGTAGCCCCCTCCTTTGAGGGGGCCTGGGGTAAAGTGGGTGTTATGGTGTAGATTTTGTCTCAGGGAAGCAAAGACCCCTACACAAGTGGTTATGAAGTGGGTGTTCACAAATGTTGTGTGAGCCCTTGTTAAGAGTTCAGGGCAGACCCTTGGTACTAGGAGGCCCTGCTGGGTGACCAGGGGAAAGTTGGAGCCCATTTCTGATTGTCCCCTCTATCACCCCTTCCCTGCACACTGTAAGTCTGCAGGTGGGTATTGCCATTTACATCTTGTGAAAAATTGGTGTGTTGTTGTTTTGTGCCATCAAGTCAGAACCAGCCCATAGCTGACCCTCCAGTGGATTAGAGGCAATGGATTGCATGGAAGGAGATTGCCTATCCTTCTTCCACGGAGCAGCTGGTGGATTCAAACTGTGTCTTTGGGTTGGCAGTGCCAGCAGAGCTCCCATATATGTCATGTGTGCTTTAATAGTCCATTTACTACAGCTGACAGAGTTGGGAATTTAGGTACCCCTTTGTGTCACCTAGACAGCAGAAGGTGGCTCCACATGTGGGGCTCAGGACTATTTGATAGGCAGTCACACCTGAGATAAGTAACACTCAAATTTCCCAACACGGTGACAGGGCTGATTGAAGTGAGTCTTCCAAGGTACTGGACTGGCCTCTGCCCTGCAGAACAATGTATCCTTTTAGACTTGGCCACCTGCAGCATGAGGCTCCGCAGCCAGACATGCCTGCGCCTGGTCCACCCAGGGTCCCCCTTGGGGACTCTATCATGCTTTTTCCCTGCCTCAACTAATGAGGCTCCTAAGAGCTTTCTGTCTGAAAGCCAAGCATTGCTCTCCCCCACCCCGCAAAAAAATGCTTCTAGAGAAACTTTAAACTGAAGCTTGAAAAGCTTGAACTTGACATCTGTATGTCCTCAATAAAGCTTGAATTAACCACACTAATTTAGGCTTGGGGCTGCCCAATCCATTCAGGCCGGGTGGGGGTGGGGGGCGGGAGTTTCCTCTCTCTCTGAACTGCTGACTTTTTGTCTATTCTTCCTTGCATAAGGATAACTTTTATTTAAAGTATGGTAGCTTGCCCCAAAAATATGGACTGTCCGCCTAACCGTATTGTCTTGTTTCATTTTTTTTTCCCCTTGCAGGGTCAGCCCTGAAACGTCTCTGCCTAGGCAAAGAGCACAGCAGTCGTAATTATCTGGTTTCTTAGCCCCTTGTACTCTGTCCATCGCATGGGCTTCATGTGGCTGTTGTACACTAAAGCCCCTCCAGCCTGGAAGCGTGAGGGCAGAGTTGACCCATGTGGTGACTGTCCTGGGCCTCCTTCTACCAACTTCTGTTTGTGGAGCAGCTTCCCCATGCTCCCTACATCCCTTTGCACCCCCATTGCTCCTGGTATTCAAACTCCCCACTTCACATCTGCCAGGCTCATCCTGCTTCAGAACATCCTTAGATTCCCCAACACTAGTTGCTTCCTTCGCCCAAAACTTGGGAATACACATTTCCTTGCTTAAGCTGAACACATCCTCTGAAGGAACACTGCCTGAGTCCTGTGGGGGTTAGTCCACGTGGGCCTCTTACTCACCTCCCTGCTTGCTCTCTCTCACTTCCTCTCCTTTCCTTCAGGGCTGAAATTCCTTTGCATTTGTAAGGTTTCATGGGTTTTGTGTCTGTGCTTTTTCATTGTCATCCACTAAAAAAATTATTTCCGAACAATTGTTTGAAGAGATGGTCATTATTTGTTTAATGTGGAAAGTTGAAACTCTGACTTACTCAAAATTGGAAACCAGAAACCGTGTGGAGGGTGTGGTTGTGAATGTGAGTATATGGTGATGTGTATAGGTAGACACAAGGAAAGTCCTTTTTTGGTCTTGAAATCTTTCCATGAGCCAGCCCCACAGTCCAGCATGCAAAGTAGCCTCCTAGCCTTTGGGATGGCCTGGTTTCCCCACCTTTCTCCTGTTTCCCATGGCACTCAAGTATACAGGCTTCAGTCATTGGTACCCAAGTTATACTGTTCCCAGCTGCCAAGTACTGAGTCATAAATTCCAAACAGCCCTCTCATAGAAATCCATAAAATTATTTGAGATAATTGTTTAATCTTAAACCAAAAATATCCCCTAAAGTCTTAAAACCAAATACTGATCTAACTTAATTAGAGAGAAAAACAAAAGCCACCTTGGTTTGCCTTGACCATTGTGTAGAATCAAGGTGACAGCAGCAGTTGGAAAGAGTAGAAATGAGCCTTAGGGTGCAATGAGTTTATATTGGGGGGGCAGGAACAGTTGAGTAAGGGAATGAGAAAGGTGGCCCAACTTTAAGAATATATTCAAATCTTACTGAATTGTACATGTAGAAATAGTTGAATCACTGTATGTTTTCCTGTGCATAGTCTCAACAACAAAAAACCTAACTTGACTGCATACAGTCAAGTGTCTTCCCTTAGGCCCCCAGGGAAAGCTATTAGTCAGTTTTGACTCAATGACGATGAGTTTGGGCTTTTGTGTTCTTAGATCTCTACAAGCTGGTGGTTTCTCTTCTTGGGTCCATGGCCCACTCACTGCAACTCCCAATCAGATGTGTGTCTAGCTGTGCACAGGGACCCAATGCACCAGAGTGGAGGCTGAGGCTAAAATGAGAGAACCATACCCCCTATTTTTATCCAAGCAAGGACGCACTGGTGCTGCCTGCCAGTAGAGGGGTAAGACTTACAACTGTAGACATGCACCACTATATCCAAAACAGTGTCAACCCTCAATCCAGACCACCTCTTGAAGCAAGATGTTGCCTGACCTAAGTGAGACCATTGTTTCCACCATCATGTAAGAATGACAAGAGCTGGCCAAATGTGAGGGCATATGTGAGGCATAACCAACCCTGGCCTATGTGTGACTCCCTAGGATCCTCCACAAGCAGCCTGGTCCCAGGCCCCGAGGTGGACTCTCAGCAGGCCCAAGTGAATAATAGCAACAACAAAAAGGGCACCTTCACAGATGACCTGCACAAGTTAGTGGATGAGTGGGCATGCAAGACTGTGGGCACTGCACAGCTGAAACCATCACTCAACCAGCTGAAGCAGACTCAGAAGCTGCAGGACATGGAAGCCAAGGTAGGCCTGGCCCCCTCAGCCAGTAAATCACCTGCTGTAAGTGGGGCCAGGGGAGGGAAGGGGTCCCAGAACAACATTAATAACAAGCCCATCACCTGCATTTTGCTGAAATCATACCCTTAATTTTGCAAACTCTGCAATAGTTACATGCCTTCGTTTTCCCAAGGGAATATGAAGTAATCTGCCTTTGTTTGACAGGTCAAGAGCCTAATTGAAGGGCAAAGAGAGTAAGCCCAAAAGTGCAACCCAAACAACATCCTTGGCATGACTTTGTGGACCTACAGGAGCTGGAGGCAGCTAGATTAGAGTTCAGGCTCATGTGTGACTTCCCTTCAAGTTCCTTACCTTTGGTCTGATGGAAATTTCTAGCTCTTCTCAGTCATAACCCAGAATTATATGTTCCAGTGTCAGGTCAAGTGCTGTGCTAATTATTATTTGTTTAGGGTTTTTATATTCATGTTCATGGTTGAATGGCCAATGTTTTCCTTTCTCAATGCCCTGAGACTTTGTACTATAATGGGTGCTTGCTTAAACAAGGGTCGTACTGAGTTCAAAATCCCCATGCAGATGTCCTTCTTTCTCTATTTTCTGAGGAATTTTGTACAAGATTCCTTTTCTTCTTTATTCGGTGAAATTCATTTCAGCCATCTGAACAGAGGTGCTTTTTATTTTGTTTTCTTTTACTTTTTTTAAGTGTGAGAAACAGTCCCATACAATTTTTTATTCTGAAAAATTTCCAACAGAAAAGTTGAAAATTACGGTGAACACCTATATGATCACTACTACACTCTGTAATTGATATTTTGTTCTTTGTTTTATCTGACATCCTTAATCTTTTGAGGATAAAATTTTCATTACAGATTCAGCTTCTTTTAGTACCATTCTAAGCTCTCCACACACACTCTCCCAGAACCTTCTGACTTACTAACTTTTGCTGGGATAATGTTCCTTTGATTTTGTCTAGTGGCTAATGCTTTGTTGTTGTTGTTGTTATTGATTGCCTTCAAGTCGAGCAGAACTCATAGCAACCTTATGAGCAAAAGGCCTGAAACCCCTCTACAGCTGTCAACATTTATCAAAGTTCATAGAGTTTCCGAAGGCTTGTTGTTTAGGAAGTGGATGCCACTCCTGCTAGCTTCTCTATATTCAAGCACGATGTTCAGCATCTCTTCTGACATCAGTTTTTATGTTTTTTTTCTTTACTGTCTTTTAAATTACCCTTTCATGTGTGATGTGATTGCACAACTTGTCTGGTCTTCAGTCATTGTTGTTCATTGTGTCAAATCTATTCTTCAAATTATTTTTAAATTTACTTGGGATACCAAAAAGCACAATACACCTTCTTTTCCAATGTGCATGGAACATTCTCCAGAACAGACCACATTCTAGGTCATAAGGCAAGCATCAACAAATTCAAAAACATAGAAATTATACAAAGTGTCTTCTCAGATCACAACGCCACAAAATTAGAAATTAATAACAAGAGAATAAAGGAGAAAAGATGATGCATTTGGAAGCTGAACAACAACTTGTTTGAACACGATTAAATACTGCTATTCTACTAGCCTCAGGAGTAACTATTACCTGAGCCCATCACAGCCTTATAGAAGGAAATCGAAGCCAAATAATTCAAGCCTTATCCATTACTATTTTAGTAGGAGTATATTTCACCCTACTTCAAGCATCCGAATATTATGAATCATCATTTACAATTTCAGACGGCGTATACGGCTCAACATTCTTTACAGCAACAGGATTTCACGGCCTCCACGTAATTATTGGTTCCACATTCTTAACCATTTGTTTATTCCGACAACTTAAATTCCACTTTACATCCAGCCACCATTTTGGATTTGAAGCTGCAGCCTGATATTGACATTTCGTTGACGTAGTATGACTATTCCTATACGTATCAATCTATTGATGAGGATCTTACTCTTTTAGTATAACCAGTACAGCTGACTTCCAATCATCTAGTTTCAGAATACCCTGAAAAAGAGTAATAAACCTAGTATTTTCAATAGCAATCAGCACTATGATCGCATCTCTACTAGTCACCATTGCATTCTGACTCCCCCAGCTTAATATTTACTCAGAAAAGTCAACACCCTATGAATGTGGCTTTGACCCTATAGGATCAGCACGCCTACCTTTTTCCATAAAATTTTTCCTAGTAGCAATTACATTCCT